GCTGGGTGCAGGACTCAGACCGCTTCTTCAATGCCACCAATCGCATTGAGGACCTAATCCGACGCAATGAGAGCAAGCGCGTGAAGGCCATGGTGATGGCCTGGAAAACGTCACCGCATCGTCAGGCCAGCTATTTCCTAGAAGCCTGTAAGTCTGTGCATACCCCCGAAGTGACTGGCTGCGAGCTAGCTCCCCCCTTCCCTCCCCCCGCATGAATGGACATATCCTGTTTTGTGGTGAGTAGATTGGAATTCGCGATTACTTCAATAACAGCGCAGACGATGCTAGCGTTGGCGTGCTTTGGAATTTAAAATATTGCCAACTGCAAATGCCACGCATCCTCAGTAGAGCAAGGGTATATGCGAACCTGGCAGGACGTGGTTTTTAGGAGTCACCCTAATCGAAATAGCTGGCGGCAAAGCTGATGTCAACGCGCAAGTATTCAGGCAGAAAGCCGCTCTCACGCCAGGCTATCGATCCGCCTAAACGCGGCACACGTAAGCTGCTGAGCAATAAATAATTTAAAGCTGCGGCTACACTAGGACTCAAACAAGCTAGCTGTTGAGGCATAAGCCAATCGAGTCGCCACTCGCTCGAGGCCAGTATCTGATTGGCAAATGGACATGGCTGTTAACATGTTAGTTTATCTTAAATATGTTTTACTAAGCATGCCAAAGATACTTCTGCTTTTGCGCTCTTCTCTTCGTGTTCTTCCTCAGAGACTCATAGACGGCGTAATTAGACGGTGACATCTCGGCTTTGGCTACATTTACAACAATGGAAAGCATTAAGGGTAGGTCTAAGATGAAGATTCAGGCAATGGCCAAGGTTTGGGCGAGGGTTGAGATCTGCTTTAGGGCAAGAAGTCGGACTAGAACACGGAAATGTTTATCTTTTCTGGAATTCAGCTCGTCACCTGCATTATAGGAAGAGAAGGCCTGGGTCACGCCGGTAGGAGGAGGATATGTAACCAATTCTGACTTGCTCATTGGACAAGTGTACACCATAAAATGTTTCCTTTTGGAATGCCACAAATCCCCCGAAAACACGAAGGCTTCGAGGCTTTGGTACCTTAAGAATCGGAAGTTTTTTACTAGAACGGATTTTTGTTGTCACTGAATTTTCTAACACCCTTCTTGGCTCTCTATTTTCAAAGCATTTAACGTCGAAAATCTTTTAGAATTTTAAGCGACTCGTCAAGCTAGTCGGCAGTGGACTGATCGAGACTTTTTATAATTCGGTATCTC